ATGTTGGTCTCATGATTGATAAATAAAGCTGTTTGGCCAATGGTGAGGCAGAATAAGTTTAGGTAGTACATTCAAACTGAACATGGAAATGAAGAAGGGTGTAGTTGCAGCAAATGCTGGGAGCTGCCTCCAGGAGAAGCAAGATATGAGAGAACAGATAATGCCATGAAGCCTAGTGGCCAAACACAGATTAATAGGAATGGGTTGAGTTAAGTTCTAAGAACTAGCTGGCAAGAAGCCTGAGCCATACGCCATACAGTTTGTAATTAATATAAGCCTCTGTGTGTTTACTTGGGACTGAGAGTCTGCAGGACCGGGCAGGATACAGGAAAACTTGTGGCTACAATTGGCACCCTGGTGTAATATCCCTGGATGGCTAATTGCAGAGGCCAGAATTTCCTGCACCCCCAGACATACACTGTGGCCCCTGTCCCCCTGTGCCTGTGTCTTTAAGCCCGTCACTATTCTCCCAAGCCCACATGGACAGGTGAGCTCTTAAAGAGCCACTAGGGCTGTAATGATGAACCACCCACACGTAGGGAGCACCAGATACAGCCAGAAATCCAAGGTAGTCTGCTTAAGGGGTACAGGGAATGTATTAGGATATAAATTGGAGAAATAACTCAGTACACAGAAAAAAGGCAAAATCATTTCAGAGTCCTAGAAGGCTGATGTCTTGTCCCATGCTGCTCCTGCTACCTAAGTCAGTCCACACCATAAAGCCCAGAGGGAGGAGGAGAGCAAGGCATTCGTACCCCTCAGGTCCTCAACCTGCCTGAGACCTTGCACAATGGGCTGGTACCTCAAGGTCATAGGTAGAACAGGTACCCACTACAAATATGTCTTATTAATAATTACTTTTGTTTCTATAGGCAGTGATTTTATGAGGAATATCCTCAGCTATCCTGGAAATTATTTTGTAGTCCATGCAATTCTTGAACTCACAGAGATGTCCACCTCTGCCTCACAAAATCTGGGATTAATCTCATGCACCATATTTAACGCCAGGCTTCAACATGTCTTAAAATATATAATAAGGATGAGATGGACTATTTGCTTGTTTAGGTTTTTTTCTCCTCATAGTATAACAACACTTGATTATTTTAAAAAATGCATAATGGACTGACTTGGAAAAGTTAGGGAAGTCTGGGTAGTTAGTGTGACATCAGTCACGGGTTGATAATCTCTTCTTAGTTCTTAAGTCTCTTTATTAACATGGGGTGTGCTTAGTGCTCTAGTTTATATTTCCACAAAAGAACACACCTTAGCACTCTTTTCGCCAGGGCACCATACACTGTAAAGAACACAGTTGTAGCTGGGCGGTGGTAGCCCACGCCTTTAATCCCAGCACTCGGAAGGCAGAGGCAGGCCGATCTCTGTGAGTTCGAGGCCAGCCTGGGCTACCAAGTGAGTTCCAGGAAAGGCGCAAAGCTACACAGAGAAACCCTGTCTCAAAAAAACAAAAAAACAAACAAACAAAAAAAAAAACCCAGCACAGTTGTAAACCATTCAATACTTAAGCTTATATCACATGTAAGGAAATCCTCTGTTTTTTTGTGTTCAGTTTGCACACTGATTTTGCCATGGTCGATTTTCCCGATCTATGGAGATTTGTTTCAAACAGTTGCAGAGCTGCCGATAGGCTGGCTGGATATCATTTGATTCACCCACATAGAAATCAAAGTGGCTAGATGGGGAGATCTTCAAGTCCTGGATTTGTCAGAATTTCTTCCCCACTGAACTTGACAACTGCCAGTCATGACCATATGCGGGCTGGTATAGAAACAGGGCCCCTCAGCCCTGCCAGTCTTACAGATCTTGTGGCCCCACAGGGTGCAGATTGGAGCTCCTGGCTCCAACTTGCACCACAGCTTCAGGGCAGTCCAAGTCCCAGGGCTCCTCAATCCTTAACAGTAGCCACTGACAGAGCTCTTCTGTAGGTGCGGGACTCAGTGCTCCTTAACCCTTAATACAAACTGAAATGTAGATAGGCTTCTGGAACCCTCCACAGCCAGGACTTTCATTTGCTCTTTCCTGTCAGTCCTTCTCCTTCTTCAGTGTCAACCCTGCTAGCTCTCTTGACCTCTTTCTACTTCCCCAGCACTTCTTTCTTTCCTGGCCCCTTGAGGTTTTTCAGCTGTTACTTGTTCAGCTGACAGCTAGTTGCCCTGTCTCTTCTTCTACTTGGCCTGACATCCCCACTGTCAATGCCATTGCCCTGTCCTCTATGTCTCCCTGTCCCTGTCTCTCTGTCCCTCCCCCTCACCTCTGTCTCATGCTCCTTACCTGAGACACAGTCTTCACAGCCCAGGTGATCATGGGAACATGACCCTGCTGCTGCCCTCGCTGATAGCTGATATTACAAGTGGGACCCACTACACTTGGTTCTGCTGGTGCTAACTCCATCCAATCAGCTATGGTACTGAACATAGGTAAGGGAGGACAAAGCAAGAGAGGCCTGTTTTTGTGTCTAATGCTACACCACAAGGTCACACAGCACAGGAGAGCATCTTTCAGGCAATCCTCAGCAACCTGATTGTATTTTGTAGCAATTACAATCATCTGGAAGAAAGAATCACAGCCTTGCCTTTTAGCATCAATCACCATCACTCTGGTTTGTGTTTTGTCCCAGTGCAGTTTTGCCTCTCACAATCACTGAGGCTTTGCTTTTAAACCAATCAAAGCCTTGTGTCTTAGCACCAGACACTGCAGTACCTTTCCAAGGCCATCATAAAAAGGGCTCCCCTCAGGCTTATTGGAAATTATTCCATGCCCTTCTAAGTTTCCCTGAGGCTTGTGATAACACTAAATCTAGTGCAAACAGTTTCACAAAGACAGGCTAGAGCCATATCCTAGGACTAGCACAAATCAATTGTGGTCTTAGGACAGTTTTCTCGGGGTATCTGTGGAGGGTTCAAGACATCTGCTGAAGACTTGAGAAGTCTGCCTGGCTGTTGGACTTACAGTCCTCTTGCCCAAGGTAGCCAGGGCAGCAAGAGGAGTCCACAGCTGCCAGTGAAGTTAGTACATGCTTCATCATCATTGCTCATAGGAAAGAAACATTAGCAAGTGTTTTTACATCAGAACTCAAAGATCACCAACAGTGATTTCAAAACAACCCTGATTTTGATAATGCATTAGCAGTATTTGAAACTGGCGCACCGGCTCTGTGAAGCTGGGCCTTTCTAATCTCACTCAAGTGAAGGTTTGGCAGGCTGGTCTCTTGCATCTGGCAGTTTCTTCCTCTGGTCAGGGTGTTCCTGAACAAGGAGGAGTGGCTTAAGCCTAGAGATTATTAGTGGACAAATCGCCCATATGTGGCCAGCACCATGTCTCTGGCAGAAAGGACAGGGTGTCTTAGTTCTCTTATACTGCCGTGATATAAAACACCACAGACAAAGCACATTATAGAAAGTGTTGAATTGAACTTACACACCCGAGGGTCCCAGCCCCTGATGTCTGGGTAGAGCCATGTCATAGATACAACTGAGAGCAATTCACATCCTGACCTACAAACAGAAGGGAAAGAGAACTTGCGATTGGCACAAGTCTTTTCATACCTCAACACCCATGCTCAGGGACACACTTCCCCCAAATGTCCAGACTTCTTCATCCTTCCTAAACAGTAGCACCACCTGGAGACCAAGTATTCTAACTGACATGTCCATCAGGGCCAGTCTCCTTCAAACTCACACACCGGGTTGAATAGTGGCTCTTTTCTCTGCAATGTTGGTTCTCCAATGGTGTCCTCAAACTGGTGGAGAGCTCAGGAAGCTCTCATTTGTTATGAACTTTCTATACTAAAGTTAAATCAAAATCTTATAAACAATACAAATAGACCTATAATCACTAGAGAAATAGAAGGAGTCACTAAAAGTCTGCCAACTAAAAAGCTGAGGTCTGTAGTTGGTTATTTTACTATTTATTATTTGGGGTCTCTCCACCTGCCTCCTTAATAATCTCATATAGACTTATTACTTATAAATGCCCTGCCTTAGCTTGGCTTATTCTAGCCAGCTTTTTAATTTGAAATTGCCCCATTTCCCTTTTTCCTCTGGGATTTTACTCTTCTCTATTTCTGTATGTCTTTAGTTTCTTTCTTTTTCTATGTGGCTGTGTGGCTGAGTGGCTGGCCCCTGGCATCCTCCTCTCCTTCTCCTTTTCTCTCCCCTGGCTACCCTGATTCTGCTCTCTTCTATTTAGTCTCTCTGCCTGGCTGTCCAGCCTATTATCTCTCCTGCATAACTATTGGCCCTTCAGCTCTACAGTAGACCAATCAGGTGCTTTAAACAGGCACAGTAACAGAGCTTCATGGAGTTAAACAAATACAACCTAAAAGAGTGCAACTTATCTATTTATCATTAAACAAATGTTCCACAGCATAGACAAGTGTAGCACATCTTTAAGTAATATTCCACAACACAGGGCAAGACAGTTTTCGAACAGAATTATAGCAGACTTTCAAAAAGAGTTGGTGTCAATACACCTCAAAATATTCCAGTAAGTAGAAAAAGATGGAACATTGCCCAATTCTATTTAAGAGGCTACAGTTACCCAGATACCCAATCCTTATAAGAATCAAGAAAGAGAGAGGATTACAAAACGCATTGTGCATAAAAATCATGAAAGGAAGGCTCTCAGACTGAAGTATAACACAAAGGAATCATGGTTCACAGAGATATACTGACTCTCATTTTGTTACTAGCAGGTCACTTGAGGATCAGTACTTGTCCACCAATGCCCCAAAGCTAGACCACGATCAGCAGTGAAATGTTTTTGTTTCTCCCCTGCCCCTCATCTGACTTTTCCCTCCTTCCCTCCTTCCCTCTCTTTTTTGATTTTTCTTCATTTTATTTACATTGCTCTCATTCTTTGCTACCTTTACTTGTTTGCTAATACTCCTTGTCTTTATCTAGCAGTTATATATATAGTAAAGTCTTATTTTGATGGCAGTATTTGTAGTATTCCTATAATTATTGAGGTTGAGCAATGTCCTTAATTGTAGACTTGGTCGTCTACAATCTGGCATCTTCTCTGGTTATATTTGTTACATTTTCAGTCACTTGAACATATATAAAATATTTATTTAATGATTTTGTGTCTTGAGACATACACCAGATGATGTGAGAAAGGGGGGACAGAATGTAACAAACCTCTTATTTCAGAAGCTTACAGCTCATATAGTGAGATACAAAAACATACAGAAAGTAACAGTACATTAGGGTTTTATGAAGAAACAATCCCTGCAAATTTAGTTATTGAAATAAATTAAGTGATAAATAGTGTATGGGAAAGTTATGAAACAAGATGACCAGCATGTCCAAAATTAGAAAAAAAACAAAAAACTTTTTAAGCCATGATAGCTAAGGCATGTTTTAAAAGAAAATGGAGGTATGATAAGGAAGGTTTCAGAAAACTACCCATGCTCTCAGATATCCTAGCATATTGCTAGCCAGCAAGTCATAATTATTAATTCCACATGATAGTCTCCAGTTGAACTAATATTACAACATAAAGTTGAATTAAAATTTTTGGCACTAAATAAGTATTATTCAAGGTATTATTTATTGTTACCTTGCCTTGTTTTAAATAGCATAAAGTGGTTTATTATTTTTTCCTTTGATTGGAAATAGATTATTTTCTCATCCAATAATGACATGAAAATGCTATCAAAACCCTAAGGTGGAAGCCATAAAATATACTCAAAGTACATAATTCCAACACTTGCAGTCTCTATGAATCCTGGCTCAGTCTCTCTGCATTCATATATGCCTTGATCAACACAGTTTAGTGTATGGGGATGTAGCTCAGCAGTAGAGCACATAGTTAGCATATATGAGGTCCTGGGATTGATTCTCAGCTTCTCCAAGGGCTTTTAACTTTCCTGTATTCCTTTTCAGGATGTTTCTGAACAAAGTATCCCAGACTTTAAATTTTGGTGAGGAGATAATATATGCATAGCTAATTATTGGATGAAACAGCTCATCTCTCACCATGGCATCAATGTTCATTTCTGACTGTGACTACTTTTCCATGGAGACCGCCATAGTCCAGTGAGTAGAACAAGGTCATGCCTACAGGGATATGTTTTGTTCACAAAAAAAAAAAAAAGCAAACTCAGCTTTCTTGCTGGTAGCAGTTTCACTAATAGGTACTATTGTTTTGGGTTTTTTTTAATTGAAAATGGATTGTTTTCTCATTCTTTATATGTCCTAAAAATCTTATGAAAACCCTGAACTGGAAGCCATCAAATATACTCAAAAGTCTTGACTCAGTACCTTGCAGTCAATAGGAATGCCGGATCAGTCTCTCTGCATTCATATAGGCTTTGGTCAAGGAGGCTTACAACGCGGAGATGTAGCTCAGTGGTAGAGCACATATTTGGCGTGTATGAGGTCCCAGGTTCAATTCTCGGTATTTCCATGAACTTTTAACTTTCAAGGTTTTCCTTTTCAGGATGTTTCTGCACAAGGTATCACAGACTTTAAAATTTTTTAGGAGATCATAGCTAATTATTGGATGAAATTATTCATCTGTCACCAAGACATCAATGTTCATCTCAGACTGTGACTACTTTTCCATGGAGACCACCACAATCTGGTGAGTAGAACATGGTTTTGCCTGCAGGGTTATGTTTTGTTCACGGGGCAAAAAAAGCAAATTCAGCTTTCTTGCTAGTGGGAGTTTCTCTAGTGGGTGTTATTGTTTTGTTTTATTGAAAATAGGTTGTTTTCTCATTCTTCAAATGTCGTAAAAATCTTATCAAAATCCTAAACTGGAAGCCATAAAATAGGCTGAAATAACCTGACACAGTATCTTGCAGTCAATATGAATGCTGATCATTCTCTCTCATTCATAAGTGCTTTCATCAACAAAGTTGAGAATATGGGGATGTAGCTTGGCAGTAGAGTCCATGATTTATATGTGCGAGGTTCCAGGTTTTCTTTTGCAGCATGTCTCTGTAAAGTTGTCCCAGACTTTATCTTCCTCCATGAGGTTATATATGCATAGCTAATTATTAGATGAAATTTCTAATTACTCACCATGACAACAATGTGAGGACATTTTCATAGAGACCACCATACTCAGTTGAGTAGAATATGGTCACGCTTCAAGGGATATACTTGGTTTACAGAACAAAAGAGCAAAGCTCTGCTTTCCTGCTGGTGGCAGTTTCTCTAATGGGTATGCTTTCTCGGGTGATAACAAGGGTGAAGAGTTCTTGCTTTGATAGAAAAGAAGGGAGGGCTGGGAAGAACCATTCCCAGTTACTGAACAGGAGGAGCTATGCTGTCGTCATAGAAACCTGGGTTCATTATGATGACTGTTTTCAATGGCGACCCTGGTGATGTCCTGGAAAATGAGCATTCCTAGTTTTGGACTGAGCTGAGCTTATGGATTCCTGGAGGTGAGCACTGGAATCTTCCTTAGAGTGGAGAGGCAGATTCAGGGATCCCAGACCCCAGTAGGTTCACCCCCGCTTCGGGATTTGTAAGAATGTGTCTCCAGAAGGAGAGAGACTTGAGACTATTGTGCCTCTTCAGTGTGCTGTTCTGTGCAGGGGTGTGCTGGAGCCATTGTCCAGGCCAGCTGTGTAGAAGAATTTCTAAACAGTCTTATTAAATAAGAATCACAGAGCCAAATACAGAGGTAATAGCCAAAGAGATCAGAGAACTAGCAAAGAGCCACAACTACCTTATCTTACCACCTAGCCACTCTCTCTTCCCCAGAGAGAGTTTCTTCCCATCTAACATGTGTTTTATTGCCTTGCTGTTCTGACTTCTCATTGGCTCTAAGCCCAGCCACATGACTTCCTCATCACTGCCTGTCTATACAGACCTCCAGGTCTCTATGGTTGGTACTAGGATTAAAGGCTCGAGTCACCATCCTTGGTTGTGTCCTTGACCACACAGAGACTCTGCCTGCCATGTGATCTGATTAAGGGCGTGTGCTACCACCACCTGACTCCTGTTTATGCCTGTATGACCTTGCTATGTGACCTCTGATCTCCAGGCAAACTTTACTTATTAACATACAAATAAAATCACATTTCAGCACAATTAAAATATCACCACACAGCTGTTCTGGGGGAGGGAGCAGGAGGGACATAAGACAGTGTGATTACACTCTGTGGAAATCAGTATGGTGGTTTCTCAGAAAATTGGGAATTGATCTATCTCAAGACCTAGCCATACCACTCTTGGGCATATACCCAAGGAATGCTCAATCATACCACAAACTTTGTTTTATTTGTATTGCTATAGGTATTTATCAATTAATATTTTAACTACTCCATCTTTAGGTTCCAAAATGATTGTTTTCATTGTTTTTATTAAATTGCATCATTTTAATCTGTATTTACATTTCTGTAGAAATTTTACAGCCTGATGCGGAGTTGGTATTGCTGAGTGTTCCATATTCATCTGGAAAGTCGGTAGGTTGATGTGCATCATGTTTCAGAATTTCATATAGCTGCATATAGGATCTACCCTGAAAGTTAGTTTTTTAAAAATCTGTTCTATATATTATTTTCCACACGATTATTGTTGAATTGAAGGCAGTGTACAATCTATTATTATTCCTGAGCTTTTCCTTACCCCTTGTATCAGTCAGGTTTCTCTCAGGCAGTGGTTCTCAACCTTCCTGATGCTGAGACCCTGTAATACAGTTCCTCGTGTTGTGGTGACCACCAACCATAAAATTATTTTCATTGCTACTTCAAAGTTCATAATGCATAACTGTAACTTTGCTACTGTTGTGAACCATAATGTAAACATCTGTGTTTTCCTATGGTCTTAGGCGATCCCTGTAAAAGGGTTGTTTGACCTCCAAAGGGGTCAAACTCACAGGTTGAGAACCACTGCTCTAAAGGAATGTAACTGATAGAATTTGGTCCAGCTAGTCCCACAATAGCTGTCTCTGGACAGAAAGACCAAAAATCTGGTAGTTGTTCAGTCAACAAGGCTAGATGTCTCAGCAGTCCCAAGTTGGTGTTGGAGTTCTAGAAGATTCTTAGGGAGCTACTACTGGTCTTTGGTCTATATTGGAGTCCCAAAAATGTAGGTTCTAACACCAGCAAAGGGGTGGCTCAGAAACAGGATAGAGGGACTTGCTGGTGACAGTGAGGGCAAACAGAAACAAAAGCTTTCTTCTTCCATGTCCTTTTATGTGGTCTTCCAACAAAGGTGTAGCCCAGATTTAGGGTGGGTCCTCTCATTTCAAATATCCAATCAAGAAAATCTCTGACAGGAGTGCCCATCTGCTTGGGTTTCAGTTGATTTCAGATGTAGTTAAGTTGGCAACCCAGATTTGCCATCACATTCCTCAATGAAAAAATTTGCCATGAGACTGGTATATGCTTTGAAAAAGTAACATTTTCCCACTAAACCTGTAGCATTATTGTGTGTTTCAAAAATATCTCTTAATTGTATTTTGTTATTAGCCTTTCTTAAATATCAGAATTTTTATCTGTTTTAGTATGAAATTGGCTAGTATGTTTTTGTTCATTTTTTTCCGTTTTCACTTTTTTATTTATTTTTCTATTATTAGCTTGATACAGTATAAATTCTTATCCTAATTGTAAAATGTTTCATTGAGGCTTACCCAGTAATTGAGTAAAACCAGTAGTTATTATAAGCCACAGTCATCCTAGGGTCCCCCCTGCTATGTAGCCTCTCTGGTTCTGTGGGTTGCAGTCTGATTGTTCTTTGCTTTATATCTAGTATCCACTTGTGAGTGAGTACATACCATGTTTGTCTTTCTGAGTCTGGGTTACTTCACTCAGGATGATATTTTCTAGTTCCATCCATTTGCCTGCAAATTTCATGCTGTCATTGCTTTTTTCTGCTGAGTAGTACTCCATTGTGTATATGTACCACATTTTCTTAATCCATTCTTCAGTTGACGGTCATCTAGCTTGTTTCCAGGTTCTGGCTATTACAAATAGTGCTGCTATGAATATAGTTGAGCATGTAACTTTGTTTTTGTTCATTTTTAAGTGTTCAATGTAACATTGAAATGGATAATGTGCTTTGAAAGCAGTAGTTTCAGATTTTACCTTAACATGCAATCTGAAAGTTTTTTCTTTGCTTGGTAAGTTTCTATCCATTTACATTTTTTATCAAATCTATATACTTGGTCATTTAGAATCATCTCTGTTCTATTACATGGACACACATAAGCAACACTTAGCTTAATGACATTTGTGAGACCTTCTGCATTCTAGATACAAGGAATCCTTAATCAGATACATGATTTTCAAACATTTATTTCCCCAGGCAGGGGCTTGTCTACATTTTTCAGCCATGGACTTTGAAGAGTGGACATCTGTCACTTTATGGAAGTCCTAACAATCCACTTCTCAACTTATCAAAAGTGTTTTTT